CGCCAGCCGGAGCCCCGCGCTCCGGAAGTGAAGGCGCCAGACCACCAGCTAATGGATGCGGAGCGGACGGCATGCTGACCGCTCTCGGGCGCCAGGGTGAGTCGGTGGTCTAGAGACGCGCAGGCGAGCATCCGAGGACGCACTTCGAAGGCCCCAGAGCCCCTCTCCCCCACCTGCCCAGCTGCAGCCCCTCTCCCCCACCGCGTGAAGGAGAAGATGGGCCGGGGGACTCCTCGCCCTACCCCTTGTACGAGCTGAGGATGGGAAACGAAGAGCAAGTGGCCGACAGTTTCCTAGACAGGGTGGGGGGTGCCACTGGGGATGGGGAAAGGGTGGCGCAGTCGGTGCCGAGAGCAGGGGCCCTTCGGGGGCACGGAAAAGCCAAGCCTCCCTACACCCATGCACCTGGGTGGGTATCGGGGAGCAAGGATGGAAGTGAGCATTCTTTTTTGCTGTATCCTCTGGGGTGGGGGTGGGTGCACAATATGGCGGGGGGGCGGGTGCGTAGCAAATGAGGGAGTAGAGATACGTAGGGGCCCTGGTGGCGCAGTAGTAAATACACTGGACTACTGACCAAAGGGTCGGCGGTTTGAATCCACCAGCCAGCCTTGTCAAGGGAGAAAGATTTTGCCATCTTCCACTGTAGGCTCGCTAGACGGTATATGTTATGTTTGGGACTTTTTAATTTTTTTTAAGACAAAGACGTAGATCTTCGGGTTATGAGAGGGAGCCAGGTGGGCCACCAGAAAATTTCCTGAAAATGGAGACAGAGAGGCTCTAAACCGGCTATAGACCTGGTAGACGCTGTTTCTGTGCCACTGCATCCAGAAGGGCCCCAGACTGTGCCTTGGAAAGCTCGCAGAATAAAGCCCGTTCCCCGAATCTCCAATCCTTCCCTGCACCCCAGCACCCCTCGCCCCCCCACCCCCGCCCCTGTTGCGCACTGCGCCACAGCCAGACCGGACGCCGCACTCTGGGGCTTCAGTGCGAGCGCGAGCGCGCGCCTAGGGAGGGGATGCGGGCTGTGAGAGAGTGCGGAGAACAAGATGTGCAGGGATGAGATGACTGGAGGCATGGTGCATATAAGCGGTGTTCCAACCATGACCGCCAGCTTTGTGGGCAAACAGGTGCCATTTTGATTTGTCAGTAGTAGCAGTCGTTGCTTACTCCTCAAGCCCCTCCTTTCCGTAGATCCATCTTTGCCTCTGATCAAGTGAAGCCCCGCCTCGCCCCACGGTGGCAAAATTCTGCAGAAATGATGCCTACCTACGGACGCTTCGAAGGCAGATCAGGAGATGCCCAGTGAGCTGGGTGGGTTTGAGCTTAAGAGAAGCAGTCTCACTCCCAGCCTTTCCCTCAGTGCTGGTCAAGGATCCAAAAGATCCAGTCCCTTGTCAATCCTTTCCCCTGAAAAGACTGAATGCGGATTCCCTACAGCACATTGTGAATGGTGGCATAATGCGTGGGGTTAAATTTGGAGGACAGCAGAGAAGGAATTTCTGAATGAGAAAGGGAGAATGACTAAGAAAAGCCAAGTAGATGGAGTGCAAGACTCAAAAGGCAGGCTTTGTGTACCAGAAAGACTTCAGTGAATGAACGGTTTTCACCTGAATTACATCCGTTCCTACACAGCAACTTGCTTGGTGAATGGGGCAGGTGTACTGTCAGTACTCTCCTGGTTAGGAAACAGATTTAAAGAAGGGGAGACCTGGCCCAGGATCGCCTAGTTAACTGATCTAACAATTCCACTGGTGGGGGAGACGGGGATGGTCCTTCCACTTGAAGTCTAATTCCTTTTCCAATTTATCCTAATGCTTCTGATTTTGTGAGAAAATGCAAGGGGGGTTGGTTGGTTTGTTTTTTCCCTGTTTGTCCCATTGGGTATCATGTGTATTTCACTTGCCATCTTCTCATTTGATATTCACGTGTAGATAAGGACTCCTTGGGGCTGCTAAGCTAGATATAAAGTAGCATTTTCTCTTAAGGGGCTTTCACACTTCCCAGGAGGACTCCGGAAATGTGCCTGCAGAAAGGGACAGCTGCTCTTCCAGCTACAGGTTGGCATTGTGGCATAAAGACCAGAATGATACAATTTTCATGCCAAGGGAAAGTTATAGTAGTACCTAACATGACGTCCACCAGGGAGGTAACCAGGGGCGGGTAGTAGGAATGCTTCTGCTCTCCACTGACTCGCCAGTACAAGCTCCAGACACAAGCTGCTTTCCTCCCTAGCTGGCCCATGTGAATTCAAATGCCAGGAGAAAAAGTATGGAGCTAGTAATCTCCCCATTCATAACAAAGGAAATGCCAACGCTTAATGAGGTAGAACAAAGAAAGAATTAACTCATAATTCCAAATTTAACTTACTGGCCCGAAATGATGATGATCTAATCTCAGCTCTAAATTATTTTTAGAAGTTTGGACAATTGCTAATTGGATAAATTGTTTTACCAAAGAAAAGGTAACTCAATAGCTGTTCTAGGAGTCCTAACTGGATTGTGAAGAAGATTGTCATGTTTTTAATAAGCATAGTAACGGTCTTGATAACTGGATGTGATTGAGCCATAACCGCACATTGTTAATGTGTAACAGGGTTTGTCTGGAGCCAGGACCGCAACACCGATGTGTGGAGTTGGGTGATACCTCCTCTGCCAGAAGCTAAATAAGCTCGTGGCTCTTGCAGAACATTCTGGAACCTCTAAACAACAGGTATCTAGCGGCACCTCTTAATTTTATCCTTTCCGAAAATAAGATCTTGAACCCTGGCCACAACTGGGGTTTAGGCGTTGATTGACATATCCAATGGGCACAAGATGGGGGAAACGAGTGCAGAGGGTCCCCGAGATGGTAGTCACAGGGCATGGGGTGCTGGTACTGTAAACAAAAGAAGAGGTTTCATTGGGTTAGACACAGGTATAGTATAAGGGAGAACCCCCGGGCCCCCCACTTCCTTCCTAAACTAGAATCTGCATGCTTCTTGGGAAAGGAAGGGCCTGTGATTAAACTGAAAATTATTTCACTAGGACGCCAAGCCACTCTACTCAGACTTCTCTTTGAGAGTGTTTCGCTGCCGACTAGAGACCAGGAAGCGGTGGTGGGTGCAGCTGTTCCAGGTGCCTCGGTGATCCAAGCAGGGTCGGGAACACGACGTGGTAGCCAGCACCTCTGAGGACCAGCCAGAGGACTGCGCTGCTGTGGCTCTGTTGTAAGACTCTGAGACTGCTCTAGCGTGACCTGCCAGTACATACCTGCACAACAAATTAACTGCTAGCAGAAGAGTTAGAGCAGATAGTTGGGGCCATGGCACTGGCGCTGTTAGAGGACTGGTGTGGGATAATGAGTGTGGATACTCAGAAGTCGCTGATGGTTATGGGGATCCCAGTGGACTGTGATGAGGCCGAGGTTCAGGAGGTTCTTCAGGAGAATTTAAAGGCCCTGGGCAGGTATAGGCTGCTTGGCAAAATATTCCGGAAGCAGGATAATGCCAACGCTGTCTTACTGGAGCTCATGGAGGATCTTGACACCTCGGCTATCCCCGGCGAGGTGCAGGCAAGAGGCGGCGTCTGGAAAGTGGTCTTTAAGACCCCTAACCAGGACACTGAGTTTCTCGAAAGACTGAACCTCTTTCTGGAAAAAGAGGGGCAGACCTTAGCCGGGATGTTCCGAGCCCTCGGGCATGAGGGAGTGTCTCCAACAGCAGTCCCTTCCATTTCACCAGAGCTACTGGCCAATTTGGTGGGACAGGCAATAGCGCATGCGCCTCAGCCTCTGCTGCCCATGAGATACCGAAAACTCAGGATATTCTCGGGCAGTGCTGTTCCGGCCCCAGAGGAAGAGCCCTTTGAAATCTGGTTTGAGCAGGCCACTGAGATCGTTAAAGAGTGGCCAGTAGCGGAGGCAGAAAAGAAAAGGTGGTTGATGGAAAGCCTGCGAGGCCCCGCCCTGGACCTCATGCACATAGTGCAGGCAGACAACCAGTCCATTAGTGTGGAAGAGTGTTTGGAGGCATTTAAGCAGGTGTTCGGAAGCCTGGAGAGTCGCAGGACCTCCCAGGTCAGGTATCTGAAGGCCTATCAGGAGGAGGGAGAAAAAGTCTCTGCCTATGTGCTCCGGTTAGAGACCTTGCTCCGGAAAGCTGTCGAGAAGCGTGCCATCCCTAGAAACATTGCCGATCAGGTTCGTTTGGAGCAAGTCATGGCAGGGGCGAGCCTTAGTGAAATACTGTGGTGCCGGCTCAGGGAGCTCAAGGATCAGGGGCCACCTCCCAGCTTCCTTGAGTTAATGAAGGTGATACGGGAAGAGGAGGAGGAAGAGGCCTCTTTTGAACATGAGAATCTCGAAGACCCAGATGAGGCAGAAGGCTATGGGCAGTGGGTTAACCAGGCCGATGCCTAAGCACCAATTCGGGTGAGATCACAAGTAGGTTTAGGGGGACGCTCATTTGAAAAGAAATAAAAAAACAGCTTTTTTTTTTTTTTTTGATGGACTGTATTGAAATCAAAGCACTCAGTGCAAGTCAGCCCTTTTGTCAAATAATTAAAATACGCGAGTGTTTCTTGAGACTTTCCATAGTGATTACTAACAAAAGATGACACTCTGGCAATTAGGTCATAAGCTGAAAGGAATCAGAAACACCAGAACTTAAAGTTTCCTTAAACTACACCAAACGTTACCCATAAACAGAAGAAATAATTGGCATTAGAAAATAATGTGTATAATATTTGAAAATCTAAGCTGTTTTGCTGATCACATCTTTTCCTTTCTCCAATCAGCAAATTCCTTCTAAGTACTTAGCATTGTGAGGCACTTTACAGGTTGGTGTGGAGAGGTATAAACCTACCAAACACGGCCATGCCCTCAGGGAGTTTACAGTCTAGCGGAGGAGGTGGCCTAGACATGTGAAAGTTAAAAAAACCATACATGTAAATACATTCACAACGCCAATAAAAGTGTTGTTGCCAAATGAATACTACCATCTGGGCCTTTTGATTTCCTCCTCCTCTTCCTCCTTCCTGGGGAAGCGCACCCCGTGCTTCCCTGCGAGCTGTCTGGACAGGTGGTCCCAGGACTAGGCACTATGTAAGGGACTGAAGGCACCTAGCCCCAGCTTTCAAGAGGGCCACTACCTGAGTGGCATCCTCAAAGAAATGGGTAGCAGTTAAGAGGCGAGCAAGCCGAAGAGTGGAAATGTGCAGCGGATGTTTGGGTCTAGTGCACAGATGAGAGAGGAAGGCTTTCATTGGGGACCTAGCGCCAAGAGGAGAGGAAGGAAGCGCATGCCTATTGAGGGTCTGTCCACTATGTGCCAGGTGTGTGACGTATTTTTCCTTGAATGTGAATAGCAACCCTAACATGGTATCATTTTTGTTCTGGAAAGAGAAAGGAACATGCTCAGGTACCATATATACTCGAATATAAGCCGACCCAAATATCAGCCAAGGCACCTAATTTTACCACAAAACTGCATTAAAGATGTGTTGAAACTCGGCTTATACTCAAGTATATACGGTAGTTAAGTGATCTCAAAATACAGATGAAAAGTAGAAGTAACAGGAGCTGAAACTGCCTGGCTCTTGTGAATCCACTCTCCACCTTGACAGAACTGGTCAAATTGGGTTCCGCAGAGACTCCAATTTTAAAATGCAATTTAAACACATACCGTATATACTCCAGTAGAAGCCGACCCCGAATATCAGCCGAGGTTCCAATTTTAAAATGCAATTTAAACACATACCGTATATACTCCAGTAGAAGCCGACCCGAATATCAACCGAGGCACCTGATTTTACCACAAAAACTGCATTTAAAAATATGCTGGAAAAACTCGGCTTATACACAAGTATATACGGTAATAAAAAACCAGCACTTTAAAATGCAATTTAAACACATGATAACAATGTGTTTATAAACAAACTCAAATGTGTTTATAACCAAATTTTGGCACGTTAACTTTTACCAACAGGCTCCCTGTTATTGCCAAAGGGGCTCCTTTCTCGCAGGTGTTGGAACAAAGCTGCTTTTGCTAAGTCTGAGCGCACATTCAAACTTCTTTTCATTGTTCGACGAGTAAGGAAGCTGCAGCACACCTGGTGTCACCTCAGACCCATGTGTGTCTTGTCATGTAAAGTGTGCTGGTAAAGTTATATGAACAGTCTTCAGCTAAATACAAATTACTTAACTTTTCTAAACGTCTTGTTTCCTCGTCTGAAAAAAAGGTACAGGGTTGCTAGGATCAGATCAAATGACAAAATGCCTTGTAAGCACGTGGCATGATACCTGGAACAGAAAGACCTCAATGAGTTGAGACTCATCATTTTCATGATGCTTATTGTCTGTTGAATGCATGCTTTCTTGTTATAAGAGTTGTGCAGTAAAAAGTATATGTGTAATCTGTCCGTCAGCTTGTAATGACACTGCATTAGAAACCATTTTAGCTCTTATTGTAAGTTGTGAGTGCTTGTTGTCTTTCATATTTGTGATGAGTAGTCACCCCATTGTTGATTACTGTCTGTGATTTGACTTTGAAACAGTCGTTTACTCCTTCCGATCATGGGTCCTTTGAACGGAAGAATACCAGAAGAGATGGAAAGAAACCCTTTTTTTCCAATGTACCGGTAACCATTTGTGACGACTTACCTTTCTGAGTTACACAGGTTCTCATTACTGTTCAACCAAAGTGAGCTAATCGTCCTCGATTCCATGTGCTTTTGTAGCCATGAACAAGGCCTTGTTCTCAATTACTAAAAGTATGTAACTGATAAATGTGAAGTTACAAAACAAATACATGCTAATAAAGTACTTTTTTCTCTGCTTCATGTATTGGGGTCTGTACAAACTATTGCTTTGAGAAGGTGTTTCATTCTGAAAAAGAACTTTTGAACGATAGCGTTTAGACACTCAGGTTCAAGCCAAAAGGTCTGAAGCCCCTCTAGGCAAGAAAATTGAGGGTGAAGCATTAGGGTACCAGTATTGAACTGTAGCTCAAGAGCTGCATCGAGTTGGCCCCACCGCTGCAGATTGCTTTGTGGAAGCTGACAACAGCACAGAGGGAGGGCAGGCCCTCAGAGACCACGACGCATTTGCTCAGGAGAGTGTTGGGATCAAGTCACTAGCCTCTGTTCAGCCAAGGGTGACATGACTTAAAGATAGAAGTCGTGCCACAGTCCCCTTTTATGATGCGACTGTGTAAATGAAAAATATTTGTCATTTGCCTTCTTGACATTTCCTCTTTTCTATAGTGCTATGGCAGGCCATTCCTCATTGGACCACATACATCACACATCAATCTATTAAAAGATGGGAGTCCTGGGGCAATCTTAACACTCTTTCCCAATCACTTAAGCAAAAACCTCCAAGGAGGTTGGTCTTGGCGTTCTACAATTTGACTGTAGTCTTGACCCATGGAGACTGAGACCACCAAGAAAATAGGAATTCCTCTTGAATGTAGCGTCACCAGGAGCCTCTGAATTAGAGTATAGACAACAAAATGGTGAGTAAATCATCTTCCTTCCTCTTCAGACTTTGAGTGTCACCTGGAAGCCACCCCCACCCCATACACACACACCACCAGCCAGTCCTCATCTTGTCTCTGTTCATCTTAATGCAAGACTTAGGTAATTCTCTTTTTTATTACTTCTGTTTTGAAATGCCTTTCTTTGCTGACACTGATCTTTGAAACCTTCCAACATACCCTGTGGACGTTCTACAATGACAGGAACTAGCGTGGATTATCAGTCTTCACAGAAAACACTGCACCCGTATTCGCTTAATTCAGCAGTTCTCAACCTGTGGGTCGAGACCCCTTTGGAGGTCGAATGACCCTGTCGCAGGGATCACCCAATTCATCACAGTAGCAAAATTACAGTACGAAGTAGCAACGAAAATAATTTTATGGTTGGGTCACCACAACATGAACTGTATGAAAGGGTTGCAGCATTAGGAAGGTTGAGAACCACTGCCTTAATTGGAATCTGGTTCTGGTACTGTGCTAGTCTACAAACTCCGTGAGTGGAAGCCACTCAGTCTTCCCTACCTCAAGAGAGATTGGAAACTGAGATAGCAATTCTTTTTGCTCATCACCATCACTTCCCCACTTGAAAATACACTGGGTCATTTCTGGCACATCTTTACCTGTGCTCCACCGGAGTGGTCCTGATAAAGCTGGAGGCTAGTGGTAAAGCTAACCAGCTAGAGAACCGTTTAGGACTGAATCTGGATGGGTGTTAGCTGAAGCAATAGAGTAGGGGGGTGGGGGGGGAAATCACAATGTAAACACCCTGTTCAAAAGAATCTGTTAAAAGTCAAGATAGGGAAAGCAAAGAGAACTAGAACCTTAAGATTTAAAGTAGGATCCTGAAATGAAATATAAAAATAAAATGAGATCAAAATGTTCAAAGTTGTTTTGGATAGTTTAAAGGTGTAAGCTGAAAGCAAGACATGGCTCTCATCCCTTCCTGTGAGAGTGGCCTAGAAATTCGTTGTGTTTACACAAGAAGATGTAATGAATTGAGAAGCTCTCTTGGAGTAAAGGATGGTTCCCACAGAAGGATTTCTCAGAAGCTAGCCTTCCCACTGCACTTGGCCTGGAGTTGGCCCTGGAGTGAAGGATGGCTCCCATAGAAGGACTTATCAGAAGCTAGCCTTCCCACTGCACTTGACCTGGAGTTGGCCCTGGGCCACACCTGCACGTCTCCGCTGCTATATCCAAGTCATCCTGACAATCTGATGGACTACAGAAGTGCAGGCCTACATTTTGTTGCGGGAAAGGGGGTATAGAATGTCAGTCTTCCTCTCAGGACCCCAGCTGTAGCTGTCCATTAATTGTCGGAACTGGTGTAAGCAGCAGCGGAGACTTCCATTTTCCAGCTCCCTTAAAGGAAGATGTCAGCCAAAGGGAGAGATTACCTTACTGGGCAGTGATGAGGAGGCTGACTGTCAACTACAATTAGTCCCCAGGAATAGGCAGGGAAGCTCAACTTCGTCCCATTTGCCCTTAGACATGGCTTTGTTCTGCATGATCTAAAGTCAGTTCAGGTGAAGCCTTTCCTGACTTCTTGGCACAATAGCATTCCCAACAAATTTAATTACTAAAATAATGCTTTCTTGAAAATAAATCATCAATGTCACAAAAGTGAGTTTCATACTGTTAAGTCCACAATTTTCCTGTCATTCAGTCCAACCGTGGTGGCTTATGTGTTGCTGTGATGCTGGAAGCTATGCCTTTGGTATTTCAAGTACAATGGTGGGCAGGCCTCAGTGGAGCTTCAATGGACTACAAAGGCGGAATAGGGATTCTACTTTTGAGAAATTAACCACTGAAAAACCAGAAAATCAGTAGAAGATTGACAGTGCTCCTCATATTTGAAAGACCCAAAATGATTAGACAAAAATTGTGCTCTATAAGTAGAATTGATGATTGGGTGATAAGTTTTCAAGATCATTTGTTCATGGGGCACAACTCAAAGTGAAAATAAACAGCTCAAACATCCATTAACAATTGGAACATGGAATGTACAAAATGGCAATGTAGGAAAATCAGCAATCATCAAAAATGACATGGAACATATAAAAATCCATAGTCTATGCATTAGTGAGCTGGAAGGACTGCTATTGGTCACTTTGAATCAAATACTGTTTTCTCTGCTGGGATTGGCATATTCAGGAGGAATGGCATCTAATCA